ACAGTAGAGGGGCAGCAGGGCATCATCCAACTGGGCTCTCTCGTGACGTCTAGGAGAGGTAACTGGAGTAGCCTCATTGAGGAACGAAGGAAGAGAACACCATCGGGTTAGGGGGCTTTGCAAACATCTAGCAGAAGTTCACTGGGAGGTGTCAAAAAGGCTCAGTGAGAAAAGGGGTTTAACGTCTGTGGTACCCACATGGCAGAAGGAAAGAACTGGCTCACATAGGTTGTTCTTTGCCCGGAACATGCGTCTCCCATAAACAATTTTTTTTAAAGAAAGAAATTACTTCCTTTGGATGAAAGAAAGGTGTGATAAATGAGTGAAACAAAGAAGAAAGGGAGGGAGGGAGGGAGGAAAGAGAAATAAAGTGGCCCTGAGACAGCCAGATGGAGTTTGAGAGTTGCAGTGAGCTCACAGGAGGCTTCCAAACACAAGAACCAACGACTCAGAGTCCATCAAAGTCAGCAGAGATGGCCAAGGAAACTGAGGCATCCCTGGGGTTTTTGGGTTGAGCTCTCTCTTCGTGGAGGAGCTTCCCATTTCCACTGTGGGCATTTCCGTACTGTGGGGCGAATGAAATGGCCCCTGGTGGAAATGATGCACCTGTTAGCTGTCCTCAGAACGTGTTGATTTTACTCTTGGGTTTGTTCACTGCTGTTCCCTTCCATCTCTGCCACAGAACTGTGCTGTCCGGCTCACCTCCAGACAAGGGTCTTGGGGGACTTCTGAGACAAGCATGCCTGTGTTGGGGGGCAACCCTGCTTCCAGAGCTAACTACACTCAGACGTCTTTGACAATTTGCCAGTGTGATACATGTTACAATTGGGTGCCAGCAAGTCCCTACTAAGACTATCATTTATTTTACTTTATTTTGCCCTTTAAGGACAGGGTCTTAGATATCCCATAGTGGTCCCACTGGCCTCAAACTCACAAGGTAGCTAAAGTCACACACACACACACACACACACACACACACACACACACACACACACACACACAGATTATTTGTTTGTTTAGTGGCACTTGGCGTCAACTGAATTGTACCGCTAAGCTGCCTTTCCATCTTCAGCCCTTGATTTTATTTTATTAATAATATTACAAAATAGCTTTCTTTGTGGCTTTTTCATGCACATATATGATGTTTGGTTGACTTTTTCCCCTCCCCCCAGCAAAAAACATTTGATCCTTCTTCTTGTGCCTCCCGAGTGCTGGGCTAGATTGAAGGGAATCAATTTTGACGCCCAGGTTCCACACTGGCTCTCTGAAGTTCTACCTAAGAGGATGGGATACTTACACACCACTCCTCACTTCCCCCAGCTCCCCTTTGTCTTTTTTCTTTTCTTCCTTGTCCAAAAATGTCAGCACTCATCACCCCTTTGGACCACCTCACCATGGAGGCATGCCTATGATCCCAGCATGGCTGGAGCATGGCAGAGGATCTAGTTCAAGGTCATCCTTGGCTGCATAAGGAGTTTTAAGACCAGCCTAGGCTATGTGAGACTGCCTCAAAACAGAAAATGGGGTCTTGCTCTGGAGGGTCAATGTGTTTGAGACAGTGAGATGACGTTGGGTTTTTCTGAGATAGAAGTTGAGATAGTTTGGGGTAGCATCAATGGATGCACAGGAAAGGAGAGGGAAACAGGAACCCTCCTAAGACTTGCCCTGGCCAGAGAGATCTGTGGCGTTAACAGCCCTCCAAATGGACCCTTGCTGGGCAGACAAGACTCCCAAGGGCTTCCTGCCATTCATGCAGACCTTGAGCATCATCTGATGGCTGGGTGTCTGCAGGCCTCAATCCCACAACAAAAGCTGATTCCTGCCTCCCTGTGTTATACGTGTCGTTCTGTTCTGAAAGGGGACACGTCGGCCTGCCGAGTTCAGTTGCTTTGTAGGGTGAAGTCACAGGAGCGATGGGAATTCTGTTCAGCAGCCTCCCCTCTTCCACCCCAAACCGTGTTCAAAGAAGAATGTGTTCCTCCTAGTGGAAGGACTGAGAGGAGTTGGCTCAGTTAGTAATGCACTCGCCTTGCAAGAGAGCTTGAGGAACCCAAGTTTGGGAGGGAGGGGTGTCTTAGAACCCATGGGAAAAGCCAGGAGCCTGAGCTTGAGACCTAGCTAGCCTGGCCCTCAAGGTAACCTTCCAGGCCAGTGTGAAACCCTGTTTCAAACAAATATATTGACACCTACGAGACTCTTTTTTTGGGGTAAGGGAACAGGGTTTCTTGGGGTTTCTCTTTCAAAATATAAAATAAGAACAGAATTTATTTTGAGTTATATCTTACCCGGGCAACAAACCATTTCCATCTATTGGTAACTCAAGGGCCAGTCCAGTCTGCAGTGTGCAGTATAATACCAGAAACAAGCGAGACCTTGACTCGAAACCAGTTGAAAACTTGTGTGTCACAGCATGAGTGTGAGCGTGTGCCACACACATGCACTCTCTCTTCTCTTTCATCCACACGCTAATAAACTATTAAACATTTAAAGAGGAAAACGAACAAGAGTAAGTTCACAAAGATCAGACTCAGCCTAGCATGGCGCTTAAACATCCATAATGCCAGCACTCAGTAAGCTGAAGCAAGAGGACGAATTGTCCGAGCCTAACCTGGGCTAAATAGTGAGTTCAAGGCCACCTTGGGTATATATGGAGACCTTGGGCTGGGGATATCTCAGTTGGTAGAGTGCTCACCCAGCAAGCACAAAATCTGGCTTCTGCAGCTAACACTGCAAATCAGTGACTATGGTGGTCTATGCCTGTGATCTCAGCTCCTGGGAGGAGGTGGAGGCAGGAGGATTCAGCTTTGAGGGCATTCTTGACTACACAGTGAGTTTGAGACCAGCTTGCAATACACAAAATCCTGTCTCAAAAACAAATGCATAAAAAAATTGGGGCGCAGGCAATGTTTGTCTTTTGCTGCCACGGAGGGAAGGGAACCTTGGGAAAGTTAGGAGTGAGAGCCAAGCCTTGGGTAGGAGGGTTTTCCAGTAAACGTGGAGAAAAGTGAGGCCTTCTCACCCTCCGAGCCGAGTTCAGAAGTTTGCGCATGCCTTTGGAAGAAGAAAACTTGGACTGTAGACCTCAAAATTGTGTTTGTGTGGCCTGAGGAGCCACAGGCAGGTACGATGCTCTGAGGAGTTCTACTCGTTGAACTGGAGCCTGTGTGGAGAGGGCAGGGTCCACCCACAGAACTTCAGAGGGGCCTCCCCCTGGTTCTTCGGGGACTCTGCCTGTGTGCATATTTATCTTGAAATGTGTATACAGATGTGTGGGGTTTCTGGAAGGGGTCCGGGTAGAATGTTTGGAGGCACAGTGGTTTAGCTTTTCCCAGCTTGCACAGATGGACCATGCATGTGGGCCGTTAGCTCCCGCATCGGTGCCACGCTCTGTAAACACTGCTGTGGTCCTCGCCTGCAGGATGCTGTGTTGACGGTCATGCCTTACTGCCTAATTGGCTCTCGCAGAAGGCCAAGGCTGTTCCTGGTCTCTGTTACTCGGGAGGTGGGGGTGGGGTGGGGTGCCCAGAGACAGCAATGGGAGGCAAGTGATCTGCTTCTGCCTATAAAGTCCGTTTATCCATATCCCAGCGGAGTGGACATAAGTTCGGTGGGACCCTCCTCTCTTCTAACAGACCCCCCCTTTCAGTATTTGTGGGGTTGGGGGTCCAGTAACAGAAGGGCAGGGAGCCTCTCATGCTCTGCGCCCTTCCTCATAATTGCTTTCTTTTTAATTAAAAAAGTTAAATTATATTATTGTGTGTGTGTGTGTGTGTGTGTGTGTGTGTGTGTATGAGTGTGTGCTTGTACATGAGCCACAACGCTTGTGCGGTGGTTAGAGGACAATCTTTGACAGTTGGTTCTCTCTCCTTTCACTACATAGGTCCCAGGGATCAACCCCGGGTTGTGAGGTTTGGTGGCAGGCGCTTTTACCTGTTGGACCATCTCGCTGCCCCCACAATGGCCATCCTTGAGTTGTATCTATTTCCCCCTTCACAATGAGCGCATTTGCCTTTTGGCTCTTTTCAGTTTATCTGCCCAGATAGGTCAGCGCACTCTGGGTCCTGGCAACACACATGCTCTAGGCTAAGTCAGCAGCGTGGACTGCTGCCAAGCGCCAGGTTCCAACCGCCAACAAATCACAGTCACTCTCTGCAGCCTACTACAGCCCTGCTGAGACTCAGGTCTATAAATTGCACCATGACAAGTCACCTGGGAACTTCCTCTGCTGCGGGCTGCTCCACACCCGTGCGTTTCCTTTTTCCTGTAAAGAAATCCATTCCCAGCACCAGTTCAAGATATCAACACCTACTGCACGCAGACTTACTTTCAGGAAAATATTTTCACCTCTGAAATCCCCTTCCCGGTGTTCTTTTCTCTCCTCCATTACTGCTTGGACCCTTCAAATGCTCCCTGCTCTAGCAGGAAGAGGTAGTCTAAAGACTCTTCCTGCCACCCCCACACTCAGTGTACTTTAAGAAGTAAGTAACTCCAGTGGTGGCAAACCACACACATCCCCAATACCTCAGGAGGATGGTGGAGAGACGCCCCCAGGGGAGGAGACTGAATTTAAGACAGAATTCCTTTGTGCAGGTTGGGTGAATTTCTTTTCTGTCTCTCTTTCCTTGTTTCTGATACAGCAGGACGAGGGAAGCCTAAGGATCCAGGGCTGTGCATTTTAAGGAATGGCAATTTCTCCCTATGGTCTGAAAGGGTAGCAGTCTTTTGAATGAAGGCATCTGTCTCCAGAAGTCTTGGGTTAAAATCACATAAATGGACTTGGGGGGGGGGAGAGCTGGAGAGAACAGTTGTTGACTTTCCAGTTCCCCATTCATGCTAATAGCACCCCATTTCCTTTCCAGGAAATTACCTCATTGCTGTTCTGTGCATTCCAGGGAATTAGCTCACCCTTGTGCTAGACTGTCAATCAAGGTGCCCCACTCTTCCTGGCAAAGCCGTTGGCACATTACCAAAAGTGGGGCTAACTGGGTTCTCCCTTCTAGGCATTGAAGAGGATCCAGAGGCAGGACATGGCACAGCTTCCTGTTCCAGGCTAGGATGACTCTACAGAGACCCTGGTCCCATTCATTCTAGACAGAGGACCAGGCAGTCGCCGCCAGACAAAGACTGAAATTAAGGCTTCCTTCTGACCTGGTGCCAAAAGAACAGAAAATAAAGTTCTTACCTGAGTTGGTGAACCCAGAGGTCAAACCACAAGGTGTCCATCAACAAACTGAGAATAAGACGTTCCTCCACAAGGCTTGACTGGATGAGGAGGAAACTCAGAGTTGCCCGAAGAGCTTTCCCAAACACTCCATGGAATACCAGGATCAAGGGCAGGCAAATACCTTTTGTATCCTTCTGCTTTCGTGTTAAATGAGGGAGCCTCCCTGTCTTCTGCCCCCCTTCCTCCTTTTCTTCTTCTTCCTCTTCCTCCTCCTCCTCCTCCTTCTTCTTCTTCTTCAGACAGGGTCTCACTGTGTAATTCTGGCTGGCCTGAAATTTACTATGTAGACCAGGAAAGCACTGAACTCACGGAGATCCTCCTGCCTCTGCCTCCTGAGTTCTGGGACTAAAGGCGTGCGCCACTCCCCAGCATCTCTTCTTTTGGTTCTGGGATTGAACCATGAACTTTGGGCATGATAGCCACACATTTACAACTGAACAGCACCACAAGCTTCTTTTCTTTTCTTTTTTTCTGTTAGTGGACAAAGAAGGACCTTTATAGAATGGAAGCACATTCTGTGTCTGTCACTGTAACAAATGGCGGCGGGGTCTTTCTTCATATCTGGATGGTCAAGGCTTTGGGGTCCGTAGCTGAAGTCTGAAGTCAAGCTTGCCTTCCGGAGCCACTTAGGTGAAACCGAATCTGTAGCTGCAAATCTGTCCTATCAAGTCAGCCAAACCAAACCCAAGAGAAAAGGTGGTGCAGTAACCAGGAACCCCTCCCATGCCCTAACCCCTCACCCCCACTCCCGTTTTAGCAGCCATGACAGGCTAACATGCTCCCATCTGGCTTGCTGCTCCTGTCCTGGTCACCAGGAATTCAGATGCCTTCCTCATGGCAAGGAACCAATCAAAAGTTAGCTGGTGGGGCTGTGCTTTACAGCTCTGGGTGTGCTTTACAGACAAGTGCACAACAGTGCCATGCAGAGCATAGCAACCACCCTGGGAGGGCCTATGGGCCATAACAACCAGTTGACCAATCAACATAGGGCAGGTCTTCTAAGCCTGGAAGCGCACCAATCCTGAGACTGTTGCATACTCCTAGACACTCCCCTTATGCTGCCCTATAAGATCCCTGCTTCATGATCTCTCGGGGGTCTTTCTCCAGCCATCCACATAGGTGAATGGATGAAAGGCCCCAGCTAATGGGGTTAGCTTGTTAAACAACTACAATAAAAGACTCTTTGCTTTTGCATGGAAATGGGCCCCTTGGTGATTTTGGGGTTCAGAATTTGGGTACAACAGTGGCACAGAGCACTTTTTTCTTCACCTGTGGCAGCCCTAGGACAACTTTTCACTGCCTAAGCTCACAGGCACACTGCCCTCGACAAGGCTTGCCCGGTCAAACGTCCTAGCAAAAGGAAACTCTGCAAGTTATGTAAATTCTTCAGGAGAGGAACCACAGTTCAGTTGGGTCCATGAGAACTGGAATTTTTGGTTCACATAGTCCTAGAGAATAGGTAGATATTGTCTCAGATCATAGGGGTGACAGTGGCTTTGGTCTTTTCATCTGGGTGTCCTTGAATTCTCTTCTTGCAGCTTGGTCAGTGGCTGACAGAGTCCGAGGATTCAGGCCTGCTAGTTGCTTTAAATTTTCTTCCGCGTTGGTGTGTCAATCAACAGTCACAGCTATAAGGGCATCTTCCAAATTTCAATGACTCGATTCAAGTTTATTTCTCATTTGTACTAAGTCTGCTGAGAAGGACCAGGGGATCATTATGTGCCTTCGCCTTCAGAGTCACTTGGACTAAGAGAGAAGATGGAAGAAGCACCTGGTAACTAACTTCCACTAAAATACTACTCCCTTGTTATTGTGGCTTAGGGGTTATGCGTCTCACCACAGGTGATACGTTGAGGCTTGGTCTCTAGTGCAGCAGTGGTCACTGGCAGGGGCTTTGGGATGGGATAGGATGATGAGGGCTCTGATCTCATGAATGGACCAATTCACTTAGGGACTCATAGCATCAATAGAATATCTTTTTAAAATTCTATGACAATTGCATACATGTAAACAATGGGTCTTGATCACATGCACTCCAACTCTGTCTTCCTACACTCCAGCCTCCAGGCACTGCCAACATGTTTCCTTTCTCTTCATCTCCCCCCACACACACAGAGTTCAGTTGGTACTGTCTGTTGGAATGTTGGCTGATCGTCCCTTCCTGCTTTCTTCCCCCACTTTCCTGCTCTTATATTTTTTCCAACCTCTTCTGTGACGTTCCTTGAGCTGTGTGTGTGTGTGTGTGTGTGTGTGTGTGTGCATTTGTTGATATAAATGTCCCATTTAAGGTTGAGTACTCTGTAGTGGCTTACTCTGAGCATTTTGATCAATTATGAGTCCCTATGTTAACTGATGACCCTTGTAGAGAGGAACTTCCTTGGTCAAGGCTGAGAGTGGCACTAATCTATGGGTAAACATAGGTAGTTAAGAAAGGAGTTTGACAAGCAGACACCCACAGCTAAACACTGAGCCGTACTCCTGGAATCCAGTTGTAGAGAAGAAGGAGGGAAGAGCAAAGGGGTCAAGACCGTGCTGGAGAAACCCACAGAAACAGCTAACCTGAGCAAGAAGGAGCATTAAAAACCCCAGTGTAAAGTTGGGGAACCAGCATTGGACCGAACTAAGCCCTCTGAATGTGGGTGCCAGCTAGGAGGCCTGGGCAGTCTATGGGACCTCTAACAATGGAACCAGTATTTATCCCTAGTGCACAAATGGACTTTGGGAGCCCGTTCTCCATGGAGAGATACTCTCTCAGCCCAGATACATGGAGGAGGGCCTAGGTCCTCCCTCAAATGATGTGACAGACTCTGATAATCCCCCCATGGAAGGCCTTACCCTCCCTGGGGAGTGGGTGGGGGATGGGACTGGTGAGTCAGTGGGGAGTAATGGGAGGATGGGAGAGAGAACTGGATTGATATGCAAAATAAGATTGTTTCTAAATTAAATAAATTTAAAGAAGAAAGGTGTATGACAACATGACCATCTATCATGACAGCAGCATTAGGTTCCCTACTCCTAGGACCTATGACCTCCTGAGCCATGGGCTTTTGGGCCAGGTTTAAGTACCAGACGTGGATTACTTTCCCCCAGAGCAGGCCTCAAATCAAATCTAAAAGTATTTTTCTTACCTCCGTAACCTATTGTACCAGTGGGCACATCTTGCCTGACAGCCCGGTACTTAGCATACAGCGTTTGCCACTGCATAATACCATGGATGACCTTCCTCTCTCCCAGTGCCCTAAACTTTCGACACTGTGAAAGCCATCCAGCAGAGAGGGAGTTCTGGGGTGAACTCTGTCTTGGTTTCTCTATACCCTGCAACCAAAGTGTGATGTTTCTTCAGCAATAGGGACTTTGCCATCTGGTGCTAGAAGGTGGCCATGAGCTATGGCAACGGCCTCTGTTGTTTTTTTGGGGGGGGTGTGATCTGCGGCTTCAGTGATTAATAATGTGTAGGAAGCTATCCTATGCCTGGCATGAGATTTCATTTTAAGAAGGATTTATATCTTAGTAGGTGGTTGGGAGGTCTCAGAAACTTTAAGGAAGTAGATGTCTGGACCCATGACCCTTCAAGAGCACAAATTATTCCTGGCTCCTCCTTTGCTCCCCCAGGCTTCCATGGAGTAACCAGCTCCCCACCCCTGTGCTGTGCCCTCCCTGTGTGACGATCCAACTTTCCACGGGTCCGGAACACTGGAGGAGTCGAGTGCTCACGGGCTGATGCTCCTGAAACTGTGACAGAAAACAAAAGCTCTCCTTAAGTTGTTTGTGTTGCCTACTTGATCTCAGCACGAGGAATCCAGTTAATACCCTTTGGCCAGCCACAAAGGCTCCGGGATAACGTAAAGTTATTAGTTATCCCAACACATCCAAGCACCTTCATCTTTCAGCTCTACAGAAGGGAGCATTCCTATTCATTTCCTTGCGAAATGTCTGTAACAAAGACCTTAGGGAAGTCTGCAGTCTACTCAACACAAGGTCAAAGTGAGGCCGGGATGGGTGAGAGGTATTGCACTCGCCTCAGGGATATATTGGGTCAGGCAGCAAAACATATTGACCTAAGAGAAGGGAGTTCTAGTCGCCTCTTCCCAGGCAGGACTGGGGGGTGGCACTGTCATCTGACTGATTTGCAGGTTCCCAAATCTAAACGGTTGCACATGAAGAGGCCCTTGCAAATGGGCCCACAGTGTCCCAGCTCCAGAGTCCACACCATGTAATAATAGGCACCCCGACAAGAAGTAGCAGAAATGGGGGGGGGAGCTGGAGAGATGGTTCAGCAGTCAAGAGCACTCGTTATTCATTCAGAGGACCTGAGTTCCATTCCAGAACTCACATGGTGGGTCATAACCATCTGTAGCTTCAGTTCCAGGAGATCCAATGTCCTTTTCTGGCCTCTCTGATGGCTAGCTTCCCGTAGTGCTGGGAGGTGCTGTTCAAGCCACTGGGAGAGAAAGGTCACCAATGGAATTTATAACCTGTTGACAAACCCTCCATGCTATAACACTGACCGTCTACTGGTATGATAGTGCCACAGTGTTATGGGCATAAACAAATGATGTTTACACTAGATTTGACCAGCGAGCACACGGTGCACAGACATCCATGCAAACAAACACTCACATACATAAAATAAATCTTAAAAACGAAGAGTGTCAAGAAAGAAATCTTCACAGCAACACTCTTGGGTTGAGCAGGGAGACAGCTCAGGCTCCCTAGTTCCTTTCAGGTCAGTGCTGTCCTGCTGGCCTCTTAATTTTCTGGTCAGACTCATGCTTGGGGCTTTTTAGCTCACAGACAATGTGCGATTTCCTCTGGGTGGTTCTGTCATCTTGTGGGAGGCCTTGGAACATTTATTCTTTGTGTGTGCTGATTTAGAACAGAAGTATGAGCTAAAGAAAGAAGATGGGGCGAGGGGGGAAAA